CAGTGAGTCAGTTTGCATTAAGTTTCTGAATATAGAGTTACCAGAGCCCTTCATATATAGAATAAGAATAACTTTAAAGTATAATAATGACATAAATCAAAGAAAAAACTTGGCTTCGTGATAGAATAATATTGAGAAGATTTGAGAATCTCAATTATTATGTACATATGTATGCTTATAAGTATTTATATATGTATATATCAATATATATGTAATAAATAATGAATATGTATTGTAAAGAAATATTTAAAACCTGTTCCTAATTGGTGGAGTGATATGATGTTTTGCATTTTAGAAAGAATAAGATTCATGGTGAGATATTTTGGAATATTAATATTGCTATCTGCAATTCAGGGTTTTACCAGATGGAGCTATTATTTAGGCATATACTATGGCACACACTATAAAACGAAGTCTGTGCAATTTCAGTCTATGGAAATGAGTTATATAGTGTTTGGTTTAGCACTACACCATCTTTTTGTGTGAAGTACAAATGTCTGGCTGACTAGATTGCATTGTGGCTTGTGTTTCCGAAAGCTTCATAGACTGTTGGTGTAAATGGACTTTAATGGCAATTGTGTAAAAAGTTTCACCCCTCCCTGCCTCCACTTCAGTCTGTTTATCGAGGACCCAATCCCCTGAAATATCTCCTCAATTGCATCTTGACATTTCCAAAGGTTCTTTCCTTGGTTCCAAAATAAAACAATATACTTGCATAAATGCTTTGTATGATACAAAATTAAAACCCTAGTTTTAATTTTAGCTCAGTTTAATTTTAGTTTATCACATATGTTCAAATATCTTTGAATCCTTACCTAGAATAACACTGATACCCCAAGTATAAAAGAAAACGACACAGACTTTAAAGGGGAGAAAAACTACTTTGTCATTGATGGTGTTTAAGGAGTATGCTGACTTCCCTGGCATTCCAAAAGACAGAGGGCAAGCTGTTGTATAATGATATCCCGACAAATGCTTTATAACATCTGAAACTGCATGTTAATTTCAGTTTCAAGAAAGTAGTTGACTTTATGACTTCCCTAAATTTTGAACTTGATTTCCACAAGAAATTACTTCTAATATAGAGCTAGAGAAAATGTTTTAAAGCTGCATTTTGTTGCATCTTGTAATATTTGATAGTTAAAATAGGTCAAATTTGCATAATGCTCCCAACTTTGTCAAAGCATGTTCACATCTACTAGTTCCTCATGTTTCCAACAGCACCCTTTTAAGGCACGGATAGAATCACAGTCCCATTTGATTCAGGAGAGAACTGAGACACAAAGAGATACAGTGATTTTCCCAAAAAACACAGGGCTAGTGAATTCCAAAACCACAACTAGAAATCCAGGCTTAGGATCTATAAACCTCATCTATCACTTAGATATTAGCAAAAAGGAATACTTGACTTAAAATAAAGGGTAGAAAAGGCTGTACCAGTGGTGTGATTTAAGGGACTTCAATATTTTCTCAATGACTTTCCACAGAACCTAAGCCCCTCACAGTTTTAAGTAAGACATAACTATCCCCAGAAAGTCCCTAGCTGAATGCAAATACACAGAGGTTTTGATTTACCCAAAATCAATGCACACAGCACCATCTTTCCTGCCACACTTTCCCACACACCAGTGCCTTGCAGCTGCTGAAATGGGAACCACAGTGAAGACAAATGGGACTTTTTAGAGATTCTATGGGGTGACAGGAGTGAAAAAGCTGCTCAAATCATTAGCATTATAGACAAAAAGATCCAGAGGTAAAAGTCTAGACTAGCGCAATCTGCCTATGTGCTGATTGAAAATAAATCTTTACGTATCATCTGAGTGTTTCTCACTTCAGTGTATTATATCGTGTCCCAGTTCCAAAAATTCATGAGTTATTTGAGTAACAACTATTCTAACTACTCTCAACCCTCAGGAGTTTAAGGGATTAAGAGTCATTCATACCTTCATAAATTAGTCGGAATTAGTACTCTCAGATTGTTTCCTATTAAACCTGCTGAGATCACCTGTTCTAGGAGTCTGGCATTTCTAACTTGGGAGACTTAGGGAGGAGCAGCCAGGAGGGAAGCATGGGTACTAAACACTAAATACAATGGAACATTAGTTTTTACTTGTTTTCTGCAAACTTAGAAACATAGCAGCCATTTAAAACATAATTTTTATCCAAAATTCTGTTAACAATCTCCCATAATAGGACAGATATTTGCTTATGTGATATGTAAGATGTATAATGTGTTGATATACTTATTACATTAAAGTGCACGCAACTCAGAACTCTAGTCTAGCAAACTTGTAATAATAGATGACAGTGTTAAAAACCTATAAATTGGACACTTTCTAAAAATCTGACATTTTCAGGGGAATTAAATTGTGGGCTCCTGTGGCTTTCAGAACAGAGGTAATGCCTAGAAAAATATCCTAGAATATATACTAGAATAATACAAAGAGATGCAGAGGGCAATAGAGAAAAATCATATTTTTTTCCTCCACTTATATAGGGCCAGCCTTGACAAAAAATAATTTTCATGACGAAGTAGACATAAAAGATCTCAGGCACTATTCCTGGCCTCCATTTTCAATTTTGATTTCATGGGGAAATTTAGGATGCATGCCCAAATGAAAGTGCCATCCTTATTTCAAGGAAACATGTGAACAATGTGAGAAACCCCACAATCATCACACTATAAAAGAGTGGAATACAGCTCTGCCAGCTTCATTTTGAGATTCTGAGAGAGGGAGAGAAAGAAAAAGAGTGTGTGTTGAGACTAGAACAAACCTCAATTTGTTTAAACATTACATGAAAAGAAAACAGTAAAAAAACTTCTTGCATCTTTAAAATGAAAACATACATCCCGCGTGCAGTTAATTCTTGATTAGTTATGGTAAAATCTTGGTCTGACTTTATCCTGTCCCCCAGCATATACCTAAGTTACCTTAATTGGTAGTTATGCATTTAATCCTAACTTTAGTTATGACCCAAACATTTTCTAAAAAAAAACCAAATAAGTTTTCTAAACAAACAAAAAAAAAACAACAGTACTTTTTCCAGAAACAAATATATGACATTTATCTTTACTGCTTAACAGTTATTTATAACGTAGTAGACAGTCAACTATATTTAAGGAAGCTTGATGGGAAATATTTTTAACTTTTGGGGTTATGGCCACAAAATATCTAATTATTCTGTGAAGTGTAGACAGAAGGATTAGAGTATTAGTGTATGAAACTCATTTTAAATTCTAGGTAAAATTTCAACTGCATATGTATCATTAGGCTGCTTCTAAAGGTAATCATCTAATACAATTATTTGGCAGATATGTGTGTCTACAAAATCTAGAGATCCTAAGGACAAGATTTCCCATAATATTCAATGTGCTACAACTGCATTTTATTATTGGAACTTTTCTTAGCTTCCCAATTACTTGTGTTGAGAGTTTGGATGTCCAAAATTACAACTGCTACTAGAAACACAATGTCAGAGGTTCTTTCTCCACTCTGCCTCACTGTTCCATTTAAAAATCATTGTATTACATTTCTGCTAATAAAAGCCTTTCTAAGGATTCTATATCACTCTTTTGCAAGGGACATTCACATCCTTCAATGAAAGTTGCTATTATCAGAGCAATGTAGTCTTGCTATTTATTTATTACAACAGCCCTCATGACTGCTTACCCAGGCAAGCACTAGAAATATCTAACTCATTACCACCACATAAAATAGCATGGAGTATTTTCAGAATGAAAGAGATCAGAGTATGACAAATTCTAAAGCTGCTCATGACCATTTCTAAAGAAAATGATTGCTATTAAACAAGCACTGGTAGCTTTAACTGTCAAAGAGGATATATTAGACTCTTAGTGAAAATATCGCCCAGACAAAATCTTGTTGGAAATACCTGTTAGTCTGTTACTCTTGTTTTTTTCCACTTAAAGTCTGCACACCGTGCATGTTCTTAGGCCAGTTAATGAAAGAAAACTGACCCAGATGGAGTCAGAAACCAAAAATGCCTATTGACCTATTCAGCTGGAAGTTGATCCTGGTTACTATTTAAATCTACTGCTTAAGTGTCAGCATAGATGCTGCATTCCTTATCATGGTTCAGGGGGCAGACATTTGGGTCAAAATATTCTTACTCACTCTGTAGCTAATGTGGGCTTTGCAATGTTTACAAACAGCTGTTACAATAACCCAAAGATCCAAAGAAAAATGTGACACATTCAAGAATCTGACAGTTAAAGCTGAGCATTTGTTCAGATAGCACCTTGTGGTTTGAGGTAATAAGACCCATGATGATAATGGTATTTGTCACATTCAAGCAGCTGTATTCATGAGAGTGGAAGTGACTACCCTTTTACATACGCAGTTACTACTCTGAACCCAGGTCTATATTTTAGCTGCCTTGGCAACAGCACAGCAATAACAACTGGAGCCGTAATGGCGATGTCAATCCAAGGACATTTTTGGATAAAGCAGATCCCTGACTTTCAACAGAGAGAGGCAGAGGAGTATATAAAATAAACTGAGAAGATGGTGCCCATAGCACTGCTCATACTCTGAGACTATAAAATATTTTCTGTAATAATAATGTTTCTATGAGCCCAACGCTTTTCTAATGGCTGTTGTTCTGTGAAAAAACATCTCAGGGCCATGGATCTCTGCAAGTAAGGGACTAATTTTTTTGTCTGAAATTAAACTATGAAGGACAAGATATTCATTAGTTTTGACCACATTCATTAAGATGAAAAGAATGTAAACAACGAAAATAATAGATGAAATTCATTGCTCAGCCTTCCCGTGGTTGGTTTGTTTCTTGTGGTTGGCCACTAGTACTTCTCCTTTTGGTCACATGGTCAAATTGCGTTTTTCTGTTCTCATGACATCAAACACATTTCATGTCCTCATGATTTGCCTTGGTTAATGTAATGGGAGGGAAGTGACACTGAAGGTGTCACTTTAAAATGGAATGTTTAAAAGGAAATTCAATCTGCTATTGTTCCCTGCCACTGCCAAGGCAACCAGCAGCATTTCAGACTCCAGAAGCGTCATCAGTGTGGAGTGAGAATGCGTGCTGCAGAGTTCCCAGTTGTCCTGCGATGAACACGTAATACGGGCAAGAAATATACCTTTGTTGTACTCCTCTACTGCGATCTTGGAGGTGTTACCGCAGTCTATCCTAGCCTACCCAGATTACACTGACAGTGAGATTTATAGAAATTCAAAGAATGCCTTTCTTTAACTTTTCACAGAATCAGATGCTATAATGTTGATAATGCTTCAAATATCTTCACCAGAAAAAGACAGACTGTTTCTTTTCTGGCTAGAGTTAAAGTGTAGGATCATGGATTTATGGTTAAACTATGTTTTTCAGAAAAAAAACCCAAAAAACAAAAAACCTCACATTCACACTTTGGCCAATCCAGATGAACTGTTTTCCTGCCTGAGCTACTGAGAAAAATGGCTCTAACTTGTTGTCTTGTAAATCAAACCTAAGTTTTATGAAATCAGATTCAAATTGTCACACAGACCTTTTTCATTTTCCTTTTTGTTAGTCTTTTTCTTTTGTATACTTTCACACCTCCTCTTTTCTCCCTACAGTTACTTTCTCTCTACTTTACTTATGTGGCATTCTCCTGTCTGACAACAAGAGAAAGTGATTATTACTACTTTATATAACAGATTCTGGCAAAGTCATTGTGCTTCTGTTTCCACGGTAATTTAGACTGTTCTGCTGTAAATGGAAAGCAAAGTTAGATGTCGGCCTCATGTAATCTTTGCTAGTGATTTCAGTTCCTTTAGGCATTTCTAGACTCCAAAAAATATCTGAACCATTTGTAATACAGGTAAAATTGAAGACTTGTAACTTTAAATCAATTCAACTGTTTTTCTCTGTTTCTTTCTGAGATCACCCCAGAACAACACAACTCCAATGATATTTGTATGAGTCTGGTTAAACACGTAGAAAATAAGGTGCGTGTGTGTGTGTGTGTGTCTGTGTGTGTGTATGTGGATTCATGCATGTGCATATATTTAAAGTAGATAAATACACTTTAATCAGTTAGAAATGGACATTAATCCTTTAAAAAACTATGACAAATAACACAATTATATTCGTTCATGCTTTCTCCAGAATTAACCACAATAAAACTCCATACACAGACTTATTTAGTAGGCCATGATGACTTTCACAAAAATCCAAATAGAGGCAAAGCATGTTCTTTATATTATTGATCAGAAGTAATTTTTTTTCTCTAGTTCCAGGAAAAAAAATTAAAAATTTTAGGAAGCATTATGGTATGGTGTAATTTTTAAAAAACAGTTATTTTTCTAATTTGCAGAATATCAATTTTTCTGTAAAATAGTGGTTTTTACACAAGATTTAACAACTGTCATTTCCATCTATATCATATATGCCAATATAGAGTGTCTCTAATAAATTGAAAAGGAAGCAAACATGCATTATTTCATAGGATTAAAATAATTGGCTAGAAAAAAGCTAATATCTCCCCAAACGAAACATGTGCATTAATTTAAAAATTATTTTATTTAGGAGATTTATTATTTATTTATTTAATACAATGGATAACATGTGCCTCAATTAAAAATAATTTAAGTTCATATTTACTGTCAAATATTGATGGAGAAATTCAGATGATTTAAAAAAAATAAAAATCTCCTCATTGCCCAAACCTATATATTTTTTAAATGTATTTGAGTGTAACAGTATCACAACTCTAAGCATTATTTGAATATATCATATTCCACATTCATATTTTCTTTTTTTGTGAATCCATGGCTTAGAAATTGTATATACATGAATTAAGGGAAATTTGTTGATGAAACAGTAATTTTGATACCTTTTTAGAACCCATGATAGCTGATTCTCAGCAGGGGATTTTTAAAAGAAAACTCCCCTACCAGAGTTACCCACTGCATCTTTTAAACATGAAAATCCAGTTTTTATTGCTCAGAGTCTTTTTTTAAGAAGACTGTTGACATCAGTACTAAAAATATCTAAAGGATTTCTGATTGTTCCAGAAAATTCCTGAGCAATCATTTTTCTGTTGATTAAACTGGTCATGTGCTTCTAGATAGTCCTGGTCCAGGTATGCAAAGGCGGGGGATGTTACATTTTCTGAGCACCCACTATGGGCCCAAATCTCTATTGGCACTTTACATATATTATCATGTTTAGTATTCATAATCAGTCCATGATGAAGCAATTATTATCCCTTGATTACAGGGGAGGGGGCTGAGGCTCTGGGAGGTGGGTGATATGGCAAGGGCCATATTCCTAGTAAGAAATGGAGTAAGAATTTATAATTTAAGTCTGTTTAGCTTTGATGCCTGTATCATTGCATTATCCCGTGTTGTTTCCCAGAGGGCCCAATTGCTACCTCATGAATTTAGAATTTATTTTCAAATGAGTGTTGTCTACAGGTAGTTGACCAATTCTTTTCCTCCTATGAAGTTAACTGAAAATACACAGAAGATACATGGTTCAGATTCCTTATCCATTTAAATTCATCAAGCATTTGACATGGCAAACTGGACAGAATTGCTTAGGAAAATATTTATTAATGGGGTCAAAAAATGTACAAGAAATGCTCCTATATTTTGGACAGCTGCACGTAGCTTATAAGGAGAGTTGAACTGATTCTTAGAAGCAAATTCATCTATTTCCTGGTTTTCCTTCCCATACCCTTTTCTTTTCTTTTTTCTTTTTAAAACGATATGATATATTAGAGATGAAGCAGGTCCTGATCCCTACTCATTTAATCTAAGAATTTGGAAAAATCTGAGTTAGAACTATAATTTGTTCTCTGTCAGCCAAAATGAAACCATAAATGTATGGGCATTTTATCTACGGCCTATATAGTTCTGCTGCTTTGATCCCGCTTCCTTCTCAAATCAAATCCCGGAAATATTTCTAATTCTAGCCTTATGATTCTCAGAGGATGCTGTGCTTTTTCTTTTCAAACTTGTATAAAATTTTTTGGTATTTTTCCACTCATGTTTATAATTCTGACTTTGATTTTGGCATTCACATTTTCTAAATTTTAAAGCAAGACCTTTCTACCATACTTTGTTCCTCTTTTAAGATTTGTTGCAAAATTCTAATTAGCAGATTGAACAACAAAAGAACCCACTGAACACCCACTAGATTATTTTTGAAGGGGGGAAAATAGTCTATAAAAAACACTGAACATTTTAAGACACACACTGATGAACACCTACTTCTTAATGAAATTTATCACCACCTAAATTCAGTTCCTTCTTTCCCACCTCATTGCCTCTGCGCCTTCTACACACACACACACACACACACACACAGAGGACCAGTTTTAACAGCATATACACTATAATATACGTTTTCAAAAGAGGGCTTGTAAAGCCGGAAACCATGGTTTGTGTTTCAAAGAGAGGAGATGATAATTTCTCTGATGTCTGATTTCCATGACGTTGTGTCAACTAGATGATTTACTCTGTTTGTGTCATCATTATGCATGGACTATTTTTTAAGTTATTCTTTTCTTTTTGTTGAAACTAGAAAAAAAATCTAGTTTACTAAAAATTTTATTGTAGATATTTTTAAGAAATGGATTTTTTTTCCAGAAATTTAACTAGCAATAACTAGAGGGAAGCCAAAAACATGCTAAGAAAGACTTTCGAAGGTCAATAGATAACAGCAATGTTGAATATTGAGCAGAGTTTTTTCTTTTAACATTAAATATTAATGTGTGACAGGTAGTGTTCAGCCATTTTGTAACTTACGTCCTAGAGGACATCACTGTGGGCTATACTTAATAGAGGTGAAAGCATATATAGCATAGGTGTAAGAATGCAAAAACACTTGCTTATACATGATTTCTTAAGATTCAGGGGAAAAAAATGCCTAACGATTTTACATATGCAAGGTTTAGTCCATAAAGAGAATAGGAATATCTTATCTTCTATTCAGCTAACAGGTTTTAGCAGTTTTCTGAATACTTATGAGTAGCTCAGAAATTCATATAAGTTCATGTAATTCACACAGCATCTGTTGTGAAAAAATAAAGTGATGATTTACATCCAATTAAAATATTTTTCATTAGATAAAATGTTTTAATAAACCAACAAATTTATATAAGAAAATACTATTCATTGGGAATGAAACAAGTCGATTTTCTATAGACTATGCTAAAAATATCAAAGATTGGTCAACTGGAAAAGGGATGAGTCAAAATTTTTTATGTAAAATTTTAATCTGTTGACTACTGTTTTTTAAAACTGTGTCCTTATTGTCTTACAATTTGTATAAGTCGTTTAAAAGCATATCTAATCATTGGGTGCATTTTTATTAAACTGCTAAAAATATACATGTACCATACCCTTTCTATCTACTATAGAAGTAGAAATTTAAGGAGTATATAATCACCTTTATGTCTTTTAAATGCTTGCCGACTATGCTACATGGGAATATATGCAACCCTGGCTTAAAAGGAAGTTAAAAGTTATTTTTTTTTTTAATTTCTTTTTCTGATATAAGGATTCTTTACCTTTAAAAATAAGCTTATATTCAATTTGGCAGGCAATTATGCAAATGTATTCTGTAAGGGCAGATTCCAATGGTAAAACATGAAATAAACTTAAGAAAAATGGGGGAGTTAAGTAAAGAGAAAGTTGGTGGGTCTTGCTATTTTTTTGTACTTTAAATATTTTTAGGCCTCTTCACCACTGCTGTTGGGTCATTTCTCTTAGCTATACTAAAGAGCCTTTGTCAGTCTGGAGGAGGCAGCCATGTGTCCATGAATGCTTATTTAGTACGGTGAGGACAGATGGCCTGGAATTGCTGAAGAAGACCTTAAGATATATTTAAAAGAGGAAAGGGAAAGAAACAATAAGTGAGGAAATAGAGAAGAGGCAAATGTGTGGCAAAGAAAAGTATACACACACACATACACACACACACACACACACATGCACACAAATGAAGACAGACTATAAAGTGGTAAGTAGGACCTGACTTTTTATAGATTTGCCTTTTCTGTAGAAACTTTAGTTTACATTGTTGTTGGTTTGTTGTCTTTTTAGCAGAAACCTCACAATCACAGTCACTATTGTTCTGAGCTTAGTCTGTCCCGACTGATGTATAAAAAACCTTTTCCTTCTTATAGC